AAAGAGAGAGAGTAAACAAGGGTTGAAACCGGGAGTCTAAAATGAGTTTTATGAATAATGTCCCAGACAGGAAACCGGTTTAATATGCAGGCCGTGGCATGTGCCAAGGCGGACAGCAGATGGAGCAAGCGTCGTGGCTGAAGGGTACAATCCCACGGTAAGGGAACAAAAGAAATTGAAAAAAGAAGGGACATTCGTTGCCTCATATGGAGAGTTTTTGCTGGGTCGGTGGCGATGGGGGATCGCACAAATGACAAGGGTTAGAGAGGGCGAGATCATCCACTTGGGGATACCAAATTATATGGCAATCCGAGCTTGATGCTGGTCTGGTTCCCCGCGACGCCGGCTGATTGGAGGTACCTGTACGCAACCATTGGCACGGCAAGGGGAGGAAAAACGTAAGACCCATGCGATCTCAGATGGACGGCGCCCCGGAACTGAAGTCACGATTCTGATGATTGATGATTGGGGACCAAGCAGGGCAGTGGAGGAAGATGATGAAACGACATCCGACCAGCTTGTTTTCTCACTGGATCACCTGCAGGGTGCCACTAGGCTGCGTCGGGTAAGAGTGGAGCCTGCAGTTCCAGGCCTCCCGGTTTTCGGTTTGATGTGCCACCAGTTAAACGTCCTGATCGACGCGTTTGGCACCTCTAGCCCTGCCGCTCCATCGCTGAGCTCCGCGCCATCCCTAGGAAGCCCCGTCATGGATGCACGATTCGATTTAAATGCAATCGAGCTTGCCAATTCCACTGGCTGATGTTTGTGCCGATGATTGATCAACGGTGATCGGTCCCCATTGAGTCCCTCGCCTGGATTCGGTCTTGTTTTTATATCCTCGAGTCCCTCTCGATCGCTGCCTGAGGCGGGGCACCTGTCACGGGCCGTGACTAAAGCGTTCTAGAATTCCGCTGATTAGCGGCGGTGTCCATGGCCCAGTCCATTACGTCGTTCCAGCTTCGTAATGCACCGTCGATCATGTGACTCGCCCCAAGGCAGTTTCAGACAGATAAAGTTGATTGCACTCTATACTATATACATACTAGCTCGACATCTATAATGCACATCATGACGATGCAGGCACGTAACAATGCATATATACTAGAACGTCCATGACACATACGTCCAATCATAACTCATCAAAGGTTGCTCCGAAAAGTAGTACAACCTCGAGCACTGTATCTACCATTTCTCCATCAGGCGTTTCCGGACGGTCCACATCCGAAGTCGCTTGCCATAAATATACATGGGGATCGTAAAGAGAAGGCATCCCAATTGAATCCCACCCAGGGCCAAATACACGGTCTGAGAGCCTTGCCCGTTCAGCCAGTCGACAATGAATAACGAGAAGACCAGTCCGTGGAATACATCTAGAAACGGCTATTAGTTGCCGGTGTCCGGGGGAGGATAACAATGAAATGATACGGAGGGAACTCACTTTTGCTCCAGTTCAGAGTCACCAAGGCTTCACCAGCATATTGGCGATAACTATCGACGCAGAACGTGATGGAGGTCGTGCTACCTAGCAGCATCCAAACGAAACCAAGCCGAAAAAGATTGTGGGCACGATCCATGCATTCTTCTCCTCGGCGCTCCATCCGAATCCCATCAGTCCCGCCGTGGTCGATAATGCGATGGGGATCGCCATCACCAGCCGAAACTCGGGTTCGTAGACGCCGCCATTACGCCGGGTCATGTATCGGACAATCACATCGGAGACCTTTCCGGCCACGGCGGTCCCTAGTAAGCCTCCCACAAACGGCGAGATGTACACGAGTCCGACTTGCAGGGCGGTGAAGTTGTAAGTGTCTCGTGTTTCGTAGACTTTGGCGACAGACTCGGATAGGACAATCAACCACCCGACCGAAAGCGCGTAAACAACTGCCGACCACAGCACGGCTGGGTAGGCAAATAGAATGAACGGGCGCACGGCCACTCGTATCCAGTTGTCATGGTTGATTCGACCGTTCCAAACCCGGAGATAGTGTAGATACGGCATCTGGGGTCGCTCCCGAAGCCAATTCGTATAATGCATCGATCCATTCGTCGGGGCGCTGGGATCAAGCGAATCGCTGCGAGCCGGAGATATGGCAGCCTGGCGACCAACTCCCAGATCGGATGGACGCTCGGGGCCAGGAGCGACCGGGGCAGGGGGCTGGAGAAACCCATCGGCCTTCTCCGGATCGGCGTTGTGGGCGAAGTGTACATGATCCTCGCCTGGAGCATCCAGCGCGATCGAATCCCGCTCATGGTCTGCTGCTGCGTCCTTTTCGTCAGGAGAATGAGCTTCCGCATCATGGTCCTCTACGAATCCAACATGGCCCTTCTTGGACTTCTTGGGCAGCGCGGAGTTCGTGTTAGTCTCCGGAATATCATCTTCAAGTCGCTGTACATGTGTCTGGCGCCCGCGAATGCCCTGAGAGACCAGATCTGACACGCTCCGATACAAATGCGGACGTTTGCGCGCGCGGGGGCGTGGGGTACGATCCCAGAATGTTTCCGGGACAAAGAAAAACAACAAGACCAGGCAAGCCCCCACCACAATAGCAACAACCCAGAACACCCAACGCCAGCCCAAGTTGCCGATAATGGCCGCACTCACCAAAGGGATCAAATTCTTCCCTCCCAAGAGGAGAAGGGTATAAATGCCAACTCGGTAGGCCCGTTCGTGTAAAAAGTAAATCTCGGCAATGGTCGCGGAGGGTAGACACTCCACCGGACTCACCGCGATTCCTTGGAAAACGCGGGCAACGACAAGACTGGGGTAATTGGGAGAGAGGGCACACCAGACGCCTGAGATAACGAAAAGTGTGGCGCCGAGAAGGTAGACCGGCCGTTTTCCATACAGAATCGCGGTCGGGGACATGATGACGGATCCCACTCCGAGGCCCAGCATATACAGGCCTGTGGTGTAGGCCACCTGTTGAGTGGACACGCCATAGGTATCCGCGACCTGCGAGAAACCAGCAGCCAGGATCGTTGTCATTCCACCTCCCATCAGACAATAGAAGCCCAGCGATAACAGTGCGGCATCTCGACGCCAGACCGGCCAGTTTAACGGGTCGTTCATTGAATCGTCAGGCTGTGGGTCCAAGACGATCTGCCCATCCGCGGTCTTCTTCTTAGACGGCCGACCTTTTGCTGAGGTACGCGAAGATGAACGCGACGGGGGATATGGAGATGGGAGGGACGAGCGGGATGTGCGCTGCGGCTGATGCCTCAGCCCCAATGGCTCATTGCGGTTTGACGATAGTAGAAGCACGGTTCCTAGAGCCTATCAGTAGGTGCTCAAACTATCGGGGCGCACTGATTGCAGGACATACCAGGTACTTCATCTGTTTCCTTGTCGCTGAGAATTCCCAAGGTGGACTTGGAGCGATAGTTAATGTTGTCTTGATTGAGCTCCACATCATCGGCAGACGATGGATTCAATACTCTTTTCCACCAGCGACCTGAGGATGGTCTTTGGGAACTAGCCTCTGCGTGTTCACCAGCTGTTGCTTCTGTGGCCGTCATTTTTGCTGCAACGAAAATGTTTAGATGTTCGCGTGAAATCAAATGTATCGGTGGGGCCAGCAACTAATTCTATAATCTGCCCCGGATATCCCAGCAATGACCAGCTGTAGGGAACCGAATTCGTGTCGCAAGTGTCGTACAGCGTTTCTCAACCGTGAAGCAATAAATAATAAAAATTAGGGCAAGGATAGTATCTAACTCGAAGACGCGGCAGTCTCCCTCCTTTTCTCAGGTCAGGGAATTCCGTCACGACCCGCGAGATAAGATCTCAACCGATGACTATACGGGGATAACGCCACCCCATAGCTAGGGAAGAAAAGAAGAAATGGACTCGGGTGGGATGTGGGAGGATGATAAAGGATTAAATAAAGTCGGTGAGCCGTCACACGCCAGTGAACCAGGGAGGAATCCGGGGTAATCAAAATCTAAACACAAAAAAAAAAAAAAATGAAGAAACGATAAGCCATCTAGCGCCATATTAGTTCCCCAGGGAAGGCGGTGGACATGGTAAGGGACCATGGTACCTCAACGGTACTCGTGGTCCGCCTGTCACACACTGGTTGGGTGAAGTATCTTTGGGGTAGATAGTAAATACTATCGCAGGGCAATCTCCCTTCGTGTTGATGTTTAAACTCGGAGATCTGCACACCGTACAGGATGGAGCACAGGAGCTGCTCTGTAGGAATCTCACGTGGGAAGCATTCCTGGTCTCGGCTGGCGTAACTCCGAAACGCTCTCGTTCCACTATCGGGCATGGTTCAGCCAGTAAAAGGCTTCTACTATGGGGAAGAAGGCTACAAGTTCCTTGGGCACAATCCTTGATTGGGTGATCGAGTATTCAGGCAAACGACTAATTTGGAACCTTTGCCAAAAACCCACATGGAGGCGCAGTCCAAAGAAATTGATACAGCACTAGTTTCATGACGAATGAGACTTGCTTCGTTCCATCTTTTTCCTTTACTTTGTCTTTGTTGTTGTTTTATGAAGAAATAAATATATACAAGACAAAATCAAATATAACACATAAACAAAGGTCTGTATCTGGAAAAATCAACAAGATGTTCTCTGGTGCTGTCTTTCAATATCCCTCAATTTTGTCTTGTGTTCTGGCAGCTGACTGTTCCGACCCCACATAACTAACGCATCCATCCCGCAGACAAACATCGACCAAAAAGTAGGGCTAAAGGGATCGTCGGCTACGATTGGCATTGCCTCGAGTCATATGATTTCCACCATCCTGGTCGATCTTGAGCTAGGTTCCCAAATTCCGTCATCTTGCAGGTGGCGCGGTGTTTCGCATGGCGGGGGAGATAAAGGACAACAATAGAGCAAGGAGGGTTCACGCGAAGCGGAGGTTAATAAGCGAATTCTTATCGGGGAGCCAACACATAAAACTTTCCAAGATATCGTCTTTCTTGAATTCGTGCTCTAAACGCCGACATGTGTTCAAATATGTCGTCATCGCACAAGTGATATTCGGATAATACGAAGCCATTACTGTTAGCATTGAGAGGGGACTCCACCCGACGATGTCCACCTGAACAGCAAATCCCGTGGTATGGCACCATCATCTGCGGTGGCCTCGTGCTGCAACGTAACTCCAACATCGTGTGGGTAACGAAAAGATTGATTCAGAATACTGCCCAGGAAGACAGGCCGATGGACTTCCTGGCGATTTAATTACACCCCGGAAATGAAGTTGACTTGAGAACAACAAAATAGCGTGTGGATTCGTACCATATATTTATATATATCGGTTACGAATACCGGGACGAAACCGATCGCAACGAGCATGGGCCTAGTATCTCTGTGGAACGCAACCAATATCGTATACTAGTTGTATTATGTTCAATTTTTTAAATATTATGGTGTTAATACTGCTGAGTTTCTAATCAGCATGCTGTCCCGTCAAAAAACGTCTACTATCCGCCCCATTGATGGCACAAATACTCTTCCCACCCCGGGAAAGAAAGCGGTCATTTCCCAGTCAATCACATCGGCAAGAACGTCCGTATTCGGATGCAGTATGATGCTGGAGAGGCTGCAATCGATATGTGATAACACTGACATGCTAAGGGGATCTGTCTAGTGAATAAGAGGCGCCTCTTCATCCTGGTATGCTCCGAGAAACACTTCTGTGGATTCAAATGGTCCACGGCCAAAAGGCTGAGCGTGAAAAAGATCGCCCGTAGACGTCAACGACTGAATGCCTCCAGAGCCATTAGGAACTTTTGCCAGTTCCTTAATAAAACCTTACACTGGAAGCTTGATGCTTTATTTTGGCGAGAGAAGCTCTGCTCCCACACACTACTTCCATTACCGTGAAGCCCGGAATTCGCTCCAAGACACTGAATTTGGATTAATATGGTCGGAGCTCCCGGACTAAGACAATATCTACTGGACGGAATGCTATCCTCCATATTCCTTGCGCTGATATTACAGGAATATCTGTATACTGGCGAACCAGTTCCAGGGTACGCAGCTCATTGTTATCGCGTTGCGCAATTGTAGCGAGCGGAGGAGAGGTTGACTAAGTGAGAAACAACAGCGGTAACAGCTAATAAACCAGGAGCCTCAATGATTACTGACAGGTCCTTTCGAACGAGGGTACCAGCCCTTGGCCACGTGTTTATACGTGTAACTCTTGATTCACACAGAGAATGGATTGGGAGTATACAATGAGAAGAGAAGGTAGCCCGTGGTTGAGGGACCACTGTTACAACACATGGTGATAATGTAATTCAATCACACCTCTAAGCTATCTCAGGCTCCTAGCAAACTACTGGTTACGTCGCAGTTATTATTGTAAATTCAGGTAGTAGTTCTTTGAAATTATGCATGGATTTGTAATAATATACATTCCCAGTGGCTTCTGCCCAATTTGGTTCATGGAAAATGACGGAGTCAGGTGATACCAATGGACCAAAGTCGGAAACAATGTAACATATCACAATTGAATGCAATTAAAAAAAGTGGATATGAGATCTAGGCACAATAGAAGAGGTCATCTGGTGGGAATGAGGTCCAGCCGGGTTGCGTGTGTATGTAGGAAATCCGAACCAGTGGCCTGGTGGAACTGAAGTCATTGTGGTACCTCCCGTCAACAATGGAACCTTGCAATTGGAACCGTTCAGAGTTAACCGTGATCGTGTATTTGACATGATTGGGATAAGAGAGGACCTGGAACTATCGTATAGAACCCCTGAAAGCTCAGGCCTGCTAGGCAAGGAGACTAGCTGTTCTTGGATCACCCAGCACGTGGCCCGAAAGCGTGATTCGATTCCCTGACATTGTTGGCCAAGACCTGCTTGCTTTTTGCTCGCCCGGTGCCTGAATTCTAATATGCATAACGCCATGATTAAATCTCAAGCCATCCCACTCTTTGCTGCTGTCGGCACCTTGCAACGTGCCCTAACGTCGCCTTCGGATTTGTTCCGGAACCTGCAGCCAAGTTGTAAACACGACCGGGCTTACTCAAGAACGCTTGATAATTACAGCCACAATGGGTGGTGAGATGAACCCAGGTCTTCCTCTACAATATGGTGACTTATATGGTCGCGACGGTCTCAGGTCGTTACAGGCGATCTTCCCTTGGGAGTCGCGATGTCTTCATAGTACCATGGAATAGCTAAAGCTATGGCGCCATTTTTCGTCGATGCTGTTCGGGACGGCTGGTACGCTTTCACCCCACGCGAGAGACGCAATGTGGCCTTCTACATCTTGGGGATTATGATCTACAAGTTTGGCCTAGAGGCATTTAACGGCTCAATTGTGGCCCTTGCAACTAATCGCTATGACTATGACGCGATGCGGACCAAGACACCCGCAAAGACTTTTCAAAGAGTTGGGCTCATGGTGGGCCTCAATCAAGCCTGCCAGTGTATCGGATCCATTTTGATCGCCCCGCTCATTCGGAGATTCCCCTCTCGGATTGTGCTCTCCAGCGCAGTGTTAGTATTCGGGCTCTTCAGCGCTCTTCTTCTCATCATCGATGCTAGCACCGGGGGTACATTTGCACCAGCAAGCTTTCGCGATCACCACCCTGACCATGATTTCCATTACTACGGCCGGTACAACACCGATGGCATGATTCCAGTCTACTGTGTCGCAGGAATTGCCTATGGCATGGTCGAGCTGATGCGCCGTGTTATTCCGCGCGATATTGTTGGGGGAAATGTTAAGAAACTGCGTCATCTCGACGCCTTAGTGCACATATTTTACGAGGTGTCCGGTACGGGTGGTGCGTTTTGCACGGCGTTAGCCTTGATCCCATTTTTTGGGAACAACTATTCTTTCTTGATCACCCCGATCTGTTTCGTATTCGCCGCTATCTCCTGGTTCTTCCTCACCGACGAAACATTCTGCAGCCACGATACACCGGTATTAGAACGCCAGCCTTCGTATATTAAAGCGGTCACTGTTGGGTTCTGGCTGTTTGTTGAATCAATCTGGACTGGCGGTAGGATTATCTTTACCTCGCGCAAGTTTATCTGGCTGGTTCCAGGGTATTCCGTTGCGTTGTATGCTCATCGCTACCTGGAAAATGCGGTAGCACCCGCAATCGCCCGTCGATACCTGGGTAATGCAGCTTGGTCGCAGATTATCGTGGGGGGATCAAATTTAGGGGAGCTTTTCGGCGCCCTGTTCGTTATCCTTTTCACGAATCTGGTGACAACACCGGTTCCCTGGCTTCGATTAGATGCCGTCATGCTCCTCATAACATGGTACTTACCATTCTGGCGGCCACAGACGCAAGCTAGCGCTGCCTGGATGGCGGCAGCTACATTTATTCCGATTTCGTTTGGCTGGGCGGCTGGCGATGTCTCGTTGGCAGCGTATATCCAAGCCACGTTAGCACGCGTCGAATCGAAGACGCGAAATTTCTCTGCGCTGGGTGCGGTGATGGCTTTCTTGTACTCGACATATATCATCATCTACGCCATCACATCGCCGATCCTTGGAAGCTACATTGACCGCGTATACAGCGACACCGGAGGATCCGAGAATGGGGGCAATATATATGCAGCCATACAGAATGTCGCTTCGGTCCAATTCACGATAATATCAGGACTGGTCTTGGTATCGACTTTCGTGCCGAGAGGATCGCTGGCGTTCAATCCGAAGATGCTATTTAATGAGAACTTGGACGGAGAAGCGGGTTTGGAACGCGTGTCATCCGATGATCTGAGAAAATAATGACAACTATGGGATCCTCCTGTATGGCCTGAAATTGGGTATATAATATATTGGGTGGCGTTAGGTGTTGGGACTATTCTTACTTTATAGGTATCACTGATACACGATACCAATGCTACACTCACTCACGAGCATATCATCTCGCTAAGAACAATCAAACTCGTACCATTCATCTATAGCGTATAGCAATCTGTGCCCGGGGCTACTGGGAGCCAGACTTAGCAACATGGAGCAGGATCCGACGATAGGTAGTCAACGGCGGCGAGCCCGAATCCCTAACCTCCAGAATGAAATGGAACAGATCACAGTGCTCGATGCCTACCTCGCAGGTCCTGTTGATAACCGGAACCGGCAACCTGGCACGTTCACCACGCGACCCAAAGGTCGTAACGTTCACATCCGGGGCCCGTTGAGGGTACTGGGCTCAGGGTAATAAATCCAGTTGAAGGTCAACTCGTCCCCATCCGGATCTACTGACTCGCCAGCATCTACAATAACCTCCGAGCCAGCAACCCCATAAACATCGACCGGCTCCAAGCCCGAACTCCCATTAACTTTCACAAGAGGATGGTGATTGGCCTTCGTCACATCATCGGTCAGCGTCCAGCGCATGCGCGCCGCAAAATCATGCTGATATGCATCTCGCCACCGCCAAATTGTCGCCTTATTCGACTTGAATGTATCACCATTAAGACCCACCACCTGGTCCTGCACGTCCGCATAATGTCGGAAACCTAGCCCATGCTGATTGGGAGTCACCAACTGATACCGACCGCCCCATGACCCATATTCGGGGTGCTCCGACACCCCCAGTCCATTCTGGATGAGGTAAAGAAATGACGGCGTATCTCCTTCCATGGTAAACGCCACGTCCGGGTATGCGGCACCCAAGGTCCCGATTTGGAGGTTCTCTTTGATCCAGGCCTTGCTTACCAGGGTGCTATTTGGGCCGCCCTTATCGACGCCGTAGAATTCATCGCCCGATATCCCGACCCAGGTGGACATGCTGTACTGGTTCCAGCCGTGGATGGAGTTGATCCAGAACAGGTCTGGCCACTGTTGGCGCAGCCAGGCGCTGTGTCGTCCTGGTCGGAGATGGTGTAGATGCGGAGGTTCTGTCGGAGGGCAGCGGCCTTTTCCGGGGAGTTGTCCTTGTGGAGTTTGACGAGGGCTTGCGCGAGGACGTTGGTGCCGCCCCAGGCGAGGACCCAGAGAGGGGAGCTGCTGTTTGTTGTGGCTTGAATGCGGTCGAGGAGGAGTTCGGCCCCGGCGCTGAAGGTGGCGTTGGGGGCTAGGGCGGCCATACCGAAGAGCTGTTGGTGTTATTAGTATGTATGCTGATGTGAAGTGGGGTCCTGGGAACCTTAGGGGATATACCGGAGACCCTGCACGGACTAGACTCCGCATATGTTCTGCAGATGGGTACTGGGAATCCGCTGGCGCATGGTGATTCAGATTGTCGACGACCTTCTCATATGCATCGATGATGTCGTACATGGCCTCTGGGTCAGTTTCGTTCTTCATCCAGGTTGATGTCGTGGCCACGATGCCTTCCGTCTGGAACTGGTTACTGTATGTGAGGTATCGGACGAGTGACTGGGCGTCATCCGGTTCATTGGAGATGTCCGAGAGGACGAAGACTCGCGGTTTACTGGGGAAGGAATTGAGGGTTAGGGCGGGGACGAGAGTGAGACATGTTGCATATAATACTAGTAGATGGGTCAGGAGAGCCATGATTGCCAGATACTGCTCCCAAACTCTGTAGATTTATCCACTTCCGTTGACTACACAGAAATTACTCTCTGGACAGGGGGACTATCCATGAATTTATACAACCCCAGCCCAGCCATGCAAACAGAAAAACAAGGCACTTACTTCCCCCACCACCCCTACGTCCTACATAGTAATATTGAAGAAAAACAAACCCGGGAAACCCCCATAGAAAGAGCCCAAACCTTCCCTTTTCGGACAGAGACGGTAGTATTCAAGATCCGGGGAAAAATGCGGAGTGCAGAATGCGGGGAAATCTTCTTCATTTATATGGCGGTGCTAGTCATGTATTAGCACTCTCGTCCCATACGGAAGGTCTACGCACCGTCGTGGCTCCGATTACCTTATCTAGAACTACCTCAGCACCTGGATGTCGTCATATTGCTTTTTCTGCTCGGTGTCTTTAGGTTGTTTCTGCGTGTTTTGTATATCGTGATGGGTAGGAAATGCCTTTTTGGGTGCGGTATAGCATTGGCTCTGGTACTTTGGTTTTCTTTTATTTCATTTTCCTTTTCTCTCTCTTTTTTCTCTCCCTTCTTAATACTTTTGTTATTCCGCGCCTGAAGCTTGAGGTGCCTCAATCTCGGGTGGTATCAGCATACATCATCTCTCAGTCACCCTGAAGATCTTAAAAAGTATCTAATAAATCACTGTTAAGCAAGGTGCACTCTAGCAAGATCTATAGAACTATAGGTACATTCACTAGATAGCAGGATATCATTCTTTGCCATGGGAGCGACAATATATCATGATATTTCTATTATGATTGGTTGAGGGCCTGAACAATGTCTGGGCTTATTACTTACAGGAAAGGATTCACTATAGCCAACAAGTCGAGAAGAGGGTATTAGTCGATAATGTTATAAGATTATAGATATGGGGATGAAGACAGAAAAATTAGACATAGAAATAGCAGACTTAGGGGGTATGGGGTAACTTAAAGCCACAAGGATCGTGAACGGTGACATTGGTTCTGCACCTGTGTTTACTAGAATCTAGACCCTAGTTATTATTCCAAGATACCACAGTCCTAGTATTACCGAAAGGCGTCCAACACCCCTTACATATCTATCACATGACTTGGTTGTCATTATATGACCAGAGGATTCGCATGTCTCTCAAGCTTGGCCAAACTTCCTTCATCCAACACTTTCATCTCTCCATAGCTCGCACAATGACCATGAGTTCGCTGGGGGATCACTTACTGGATCTGGATCCTAGCGATATCACCATAAAACGGCAAATCAACTTCTCAGAATCTTCAACCATATATGAAGTCCAGATATATGGAGAGACGCGTGTTATGAAGCTCGTGAGTACGAATTTTTGATCTTCCAGGGCGACGCTGACGTGTCAGTTCCACGATAATGGCGACCCAGGATACAGTAAAAGGGGCCGCGACCTAAATCGCTTTCGCTGTGAATTGAATGCCTATTGTAACCTCCATAAATTCGGCGTGTGCGAACGCGGCTTTGTCCCATTCTTTTATGGCTATATCGATCGTGTTGACCCGTCCGCTTTTGCGCCACCTCTTACACATTTCATCCACGATCAATTCCAACCGAGGGCGATTCTCCTCGAGTACTTACCGAATGCCGAACGACTGAATTGCGTGAATTATTCCGAAGCTCTCTTTCAGTATGCGGTTGATGGTATCAAAGAGATCCACAGTGCTCTTGTCCACCACCATGATATTTACCCGAAGAATATGCTGGTTGTGTCTGGTAGTAGAATCGTATGGATTGATTTTGATGTCGCAATGACTTTTGATGATATGGGATCCCGTGAGAAAGAATACTGCAAATATGAAGCCGATCTTGTTGAAAATTTCGGAGAGGTTTTGGTTTGTCTTCCCTTCGTTTCTTTGAATACCAGATATTAACTATCACGAACTCCAGAGAAATGACCAGAGAGAGGGTCTACCCCCTAACACGAAATTCTATTGAACTGGGACTCCTCAAACCAAGTTTTCGCGGTAATGACCATATAAATTACGAATCAAAAACACGGTGAGCACTCAGGGCTCGCTCTCTAATATTATGCCTGCATATTGGAAATGGTGTTCGGCACTCTTCTTTTTATACCGACATGATGAAGGCATTTCTGAAGGAAGATATAATAGCCTGGCTTAGGAGTATATTAAACTCCGACCAAGGTTTCTTAATAAAACGGCAAACAACTCTTCTATCAAAAGAGTTAATGGATGACATATACAACTCAGAACCATAGAAGCAAAAGTCATACAGGGGAGGGGAAAGTACTCACCATCTTTTGGAACACGTCTCCAGATGGCAGGTCCTTTGGTGAATCTAATTGTGCTATGGAGCCAGGCAAGAGAACCGGCACCAGCATGACTTTAGTCACTAGCGAGCAATTGGCGAGCCTCATCTTTCACATCATCCATACTCGCATATTCGCCACGCCAGCACTTCTTGATTATTTGCCCAAAGAGAACACCGTCAAGATCTGGGAATGAGTCTGATGCAGGCCAAATAAGGTCCGGGTTCTTAGGACTGAAGAAATAGTCTTTATGGACGCGCCAGGACGCAATGGAATAGAGAATCCAGCCAAGATGAAGGATCTCAATCTGAACATTCAAGTCGTTTTCATTTGCAATAGTAATATCGGCTTCCAGCGGTAACAAGATAGATTGTCCGAAATCCGCCAATTTAAGCTGCTCATCCAGGACCAGGATATTGCGCAGGGCAATATCATCCACAAATACTCGGCGAGAGTGGACGTGTGCGAAGGTGTCAATGAGACAAGACATCCAAGTGACTTTTAGGGAGTTCTCGCGCTCGGGAGAGGTTTCTAGATATGACTCAAGATCGCCTTGTGCCAGGGCTAGCTCAATCCCGTACTTGGATATTCGGAAAGAGGGAATAATTCCTTCGTAGCTGCGCAGGCGTTCAAAGACCCAGATTTCATTCTCTAGAGTTTGCTGATTAATGTCGTTCATGTATTCCACATCCTCGCGGTCTGGGAGGTACCCGGGCTGATACTGCTTGGCTCTCTTAACAGCACGGTCTTCCCCAAGCTGAAGAATAACCCCAGTCATACCATTCCCAATTTCGGGGAGGCCTAGATACGGATCATGGAAATGGGGAGAAGGTGGGGCATTGAGCGATGATTCAGCTCCCATAGTTTTAGCTGGGAGGGGATCTCACGCCGTAACTTTGCAATATTCCAAAAGAAGAACTTAGTCGGAGAAGACAAGAAAGTCAATCAAGCTTACTTTTTTTTGTGTGTGACTGCTGAGTTACGGAAGGCCAAACTATCACACCCAGCCAGGTGCGGATTATGTAGAGGAGTATATTAGTTGGTACTGGAGAGTGTAGGAGAAGGATATACTAAAATAAAATAAAAAACAAAAAGCAGAAGAAGGAAGAATATAGAGAGATGGGAAGAGAAACGGCACTTAGGACGGATCCTACTTAACTGGACAAGGCTGACAAGTTATCGAGTGTGGTTGGGCACGAAAAGCCAAGTTATTGGGCGAATGAGACTAGAGGAGCATCACCAATTCTATGATTTTTGCATATATGCGATTAAGAAGCCAAATTTCTGCATATATGAAGAGTATTTTGCGTGACTGGTACCAAGCATGCTGCCTTCAGAGTTAAAGGCGGCTAGTATAGTAGAAACCAAGCTACCAGTAAGAAATCCAATATTCTGAGCATTAGTGGAAATTCATCCTGAGAAGGGATTAAGCAGATTGATTTGTTCTATATTCTGGTGGAAAAAGTAAAGCTCAATGGATTGACCCACAGTGATCATCTGACCAGGATGCCCTCGATAATCCAGACACATATAAATGGAACAAGCTGCACCCAAGTCACAATACATAGAATGTTCTCCTTGTGTTCATAAATGGAATAACTTGATAGAGCTGAGTGTTCATACTAAGATAGATATAAACTACGTAGTATCCTTGGATCCTGGTTGAAAGAAAAACAATGCCATTCTTCTTGTTCCTATAGATCTGCAGAAAGCTCCAGGAGCTTTCCTAGCCATCTCCTCATTCAAACACTAGAAAAATCATAGAATCTCTTAGGAACTAAATACCGTTGCTCATATTCCCCCCAATATACAATGGTAATTTTCCAAAGTTGGGTGGTTCCTGGATAGAAGCAGCAAGCCCTACATGTTCTGCATGTTCCTGTGGATGGGGTTCTTAATGATGACGAAATCGAACCTTATCCGCTTCACTAATTTATATTCCACCCAAAATCCAGCCACATAATTATATTTCATGCTACTATAGCATACATCTACCTGGCAACAACCCGGTAAATCTTCCCGGGATAAACACCTTGAACAAAAACTCCCCGACAAACAAAAGCAAGCCACCCCCTCCGAACCAACGCCTCAAAAACAACCTCCACAAAATGCCCCGACTAATCGACCACGAGCCTAACACACGCACAAAACCCATGCGCATCCTCTGCCTGGGCCTAACTCGCACCGGAACAAACTGTGCGTCCCCCATTATGATCCCCAGTTATACAAACACTAACAAAACGCGACAGCCCTCGTGGTGGCCCTCCGCAAACTGGGCTACACGCCGTATCACGGCTCCGAATGTTTCAAGTCCCCGCCCCGAGACTTCAACCTCTGGATCGAAGCGCTGAACTGTAACTTCTTCAACCGGGACCCTAACAACATCCCCCGTTATGGCCGCGAGGAATTCGACCGACTCATCGGCACCTACGACGCCGTCCTCGACATCCCGGCATCAATATTCTGGGAGGATCTCATCCACGCCTACCCGGACGCAAAGGTCATCCTGACAACCCGGGACTTCGATTCCTGGTGGGTGTCCATGGACAAGACGCTATTTCGGTTCATCCGGATGCCGTTCTTCCGGTATTGGCAGTACTGCGACAAGAAGCAGATTGGGCCGCTGTATCGCATGTCTGAGCTGGTTTGGAGGGTTTTTTGTGGGAATTGTTACGAGAGGGGGGCGTGCGAGGAGGCGTTTCACGAGCATTATCGGAGGGTGAGGGAGGCTGTTCCACAGGAGAGGAGGTTGGAGTTGAAGGTCGGGAGGGATGGGTGGGATGCGCTGTGTCCGTTTCTGGGAGTTGAGGTTCCTGCGGAAGAGTGGCCGAGGGAGTATACTGCGAAGGCGCTGAATGAGCATGTCGATATGGCTTTTTGGGGGGCTGTTGGGACGCTTCTTTCCTGGGTTGGGCTGGGTCTGGTGGTTGTTTTGGGTGCGGTTTGGTTGCGAGGGTATGCTGGGGGGTATCATGATGAGATTTGATTATTGGATTGAGTGAACGTGTCTAGTTAGCATTGCAAAGAAGTACATTGTTTAAGAATTATCAGCACTACTGTTTTATCATATTCAGGAGATTGAGGCGACGATGGAGCTTTGCGGAATACTTGTTGCTATGTCAGATAAGATGAGACTAAAAACGGGGATCCCTGTGGAAATTGAGACGATGACAGGCAAGTGAGCACTACATTAGGCTACACATATGATGCAAAATAGTCAAGGGAGCGGATGGAGGTGGGCTGTAGCTGTGCAGGAACACTCTCTAGGTACTACACACACGATCCGGGGCGCATAACCCAAGAGGCCATCTGTGGCTTGATGTTTGGAAGTACAGACAGGTAACTGATCCAACCCTAAACAGCCATTTCATTGGGCCAGCCTCAAATGGAGAGTATATAAAGCATATGTCCAATAAGTGTATGACCTCAGATAAATTAATACCAGTCTGCAAGCATATTCTTTGTATCTCACGCCGCCACTGGAGAGTATCCTGTGTCATAAATGAAGATCAGTAATAATCGGCGGCGATCACCGACGGTTACGAGGCATCGTCGAATTATTGTGCTAGACGAGCCATTGAGCATAGAAGTAGCGCCAGGCTAATGCATGTACGAAGCACAGCCTCATGCTGTAAGCGATTATAAATAAGATCAAACCCCGCCAGCCTGTAGCCTTCTGACAAAGTAATGATACAACATGAGCACAGTACATTTCGACTACATAATCGTGGGTGGAGGCCTCGCAGGCTCCGTCGTTGCAAATCGACTATACAATGCCAATAAGTCATTGAATATTCTTCTGGTCGAGGCCGGCGTTGACGCCTCTGACAACACCTTGATCCCGTATGCAAACAATACAGCATTTCTCATCGGATGTGATTTGGACTGGGGATATGTCACGACGCCTCAGAAGAATCTCGAGGGTCGCAAGATTGGAAACCCAGCGGGGAAATGCCTTGGCGGAGGAACCGCGATCAATAACTGTAAAGCGCGGTAGCTATTCATGACCATGGATTCGCAGACTGATAATTCTTGCCAGGCGGATGGATCCGTGGTGATCGTAGTGATTATGACAGGTGGGCTGAGATTGTTGGGGACGAAAGCTACAGCTATGATTCTATGCTGCCCTATTTCATCGCGACGGAGAAATACACCGACGGAAGCCAAACGGATAGGCAACATGGATCTGACGGTCCGCTGTATGTCGCCTCGGTCTCCTCAACCGGTCGCCAATATCCACTGCGCGAGACACTAGCGCAGGTATGGGACGAGAACAATGTCCGCGCCCTACCAGGCTTGGATGGAAACAGAGGTAATCCTCAGGGCCGGGCAGAGCTTGCAGAGGATCGCCGTGATGGACTCCGTCAGTTGGCTAGCGCTGCCTATCCACTTGATGGTGTCCATGTCATGACCAACACACTCGTGAGGCGTATTCTTATAACCTCGGAAGATAGTACACCGAAAGCCATCGGAATTGAAACAATAAGCGGCGAGAAATACTACGGCAGGGAGATCATCGCCTCTGCTGGAGCATACCGCACTCCACAGCTTTTGATGCTCTCTGGAATCGGCCCAGGAGAGATATTGTCACAGCACGGCATCCCTGCTGTGGTTGACGCCCCAGATGTTGGACGAAACCTCTACGACCATCTAGAGTTTGCACAGTACTGGAAGCTCAAAGACCCTTCAAAAGGGTATGCCCTTGGGTCGGACAATCCTCTCTTTGCCAAACCTGAATTCGGACAGGGTGTGCCCGTAGACTGGATTGTCACTACCAGCATCCCCAAAGATGGCTTGGTAGAGGCAATTACAGCGGACGAAGGGAGTCCACCATCAGCAGACCACCCTCTCCTGAAAGCCGAGCGATCCTTCCTGGAGTACATCGTGCTGTACGCGGCTGGTAGTCCTTCAGACCCAGTTGTACCCCTAGATGGCACTCACATATGTATGACCATCGTTGGCCTATTGCCGACTTCGAAAGGCCATGTTACCATCAGTTCGACAGACCCGACCGATCCTCCTGTAATTGACCCCAGTTACCTGTCAACCGAGGTGGATCGCTACGCCTGGCGCACGGGGCTGCGCACTGCCACTCGGCTATTTTTGGGGACCGATTCAGCGAAGTCATTCATCGATCAGGAGACCCCACCAGATGGATTCGAGCCGATTAGCCTGAACTCAAGTGATGAGTATTTGGATGCTAGGGCTCGGCATGGAGCATTGTGCGTATACAACTAGCTCTTCTAAACGGTCGTCACTAACGAAGGTAGTTCTACGTACCACCCTATGGGAACATGCTCAATGGGTAAAGTTGTCGATAACAGATTCCAAGTACATGGAATATCCAACCTGCGCGTTGTCGACGCCAGCGTAATTCCCACCCCAATCGCGGGCCATATCCAGGCCGCGCTGTATGCCATGGCTGTGAAGGCGGCGGATGTAATCGCCAGCAAGGCGTGAGTAAACTCAATCCAATTAATTGAAACTGACCTTCGCTATTGTACCTCCTGTCATGGGATAGTGATGTGGGAGTGTTTGTTGGCCTACCCTAGTGTATATAGGTAAAAGAATATCAACGCATAGGCCGGAAAAAGTGATCGCTGAACTAGACCAGAGAGCTTGTGAGCCTCCATAAGCAAGCATAAGAATGTTCTTTGCATTTATCTGCATGACTCAGTCTACGCATAGAGCTATACATAAGCCTACGAAATGGATATCTAGTGTACTGACCGCTAGTGTTTCATCATGACCTTTCGCATATTATCAGCTTTATACTAGGTGGTAATAGTCGGACATGCATAAAATCTCTACTTTCCGGCCTGCATGGTATTCTAACCGCACTTGGAGCAACATTGTACGAGTGTCGATTTTATTTGTCAATGCTGGACACTAAGCCCTGACATGGCTGGTCTGCTTGGGGCTACATATAAGGGATTTACATTATCTCATAGCAGCTCTCAAAAATTCATTACTAACATACCTGATAGCACGGTCTTTATCTTCCCTGTTCGATCTATATAAGGGATCGCAAAGCACTTAATTCTATCTCCCAAGATACCGACGTTATCTAAGCCAGAAATTCTAAGTAGAAAGGCTTCGAAGCGATAGAAAGTAGGCCAGGAGTAAAGGCACAAGGTATGTAATAATGTAATTTCGAATATATCTGGTTTAAGACAGCGTCATTGATGGGTCAGACTTTTTGCATGAAATGTGGACGTCTGGCATAGGAATGACCATACGTACCCTCGCTACCATCGTTAACTCTATCCACTCTCAATACTCTTGTCGGCTATCGGTCTCATTCACCCTTCTGCCATCCTCACCCCCCCACATTCATCCGGTATCTACGCCATCAAGGCAAGGGATCTCATCAATACCAATCAGGGTTCGACAATATACTCAAATAGGACGCCCCTTCCATGAAACGTCTTCCTTGAAAGCACCTTCCCTGAGCACTCCCCTTGACCACGGTTTACTCTGCCTTCTGGGTTTCACGCAACTATTTTTACCCATCTCTTTTCACTGCAAGTCTGCACGACCACATTTGCTATCATATCGTCGCCATGCCCCGAGCGCAACGCGCAAGAAAGCGCAAGCAGGCTGTTGTTGACCATGACATTGCCATACACAGCGACGAAAGGTCCACGGCTGTGGTAGCAACCACGCTGAACATAGCTTCAGTGTCCAAGATGACGGTTGGCTCCCAAAGATCCTTGGCTGAGTGTCTTGAAACCGATGATCTGTATTCTGGGATGGTGCACGATGACATGTGGACCGGAAACAGTATGGGTCTAGGAATCCCCCGTGATAACAGCACATTACGTATGTTAGAACGTAAAGTCGCTAAAATGGAATCGGCCAGGGCCGCGGACAGGGCCGAGGACAAGCGGCAGTACGAGGCCACCCATCGAAGACTCCAAGAGAAGATTTCTGGTCTCCATTACATGATCGATGTCATCGGCCGACAGAACCACGCACGATATATCGTCGGCTATTCACAAATGAGGACTAGATTCATTTCAATATTCCAGAGGGACATTCTCAAGATCGCGTCCAGCGAAGACAGGGTTCTTATCGGCCGAGGAAACACAGCAGCCCACGATGGGAATTTCCTAGCTGATGCGAAGTTATACGATATGGGCTTCGTTGCGGAGGATGGCACGCGATTTCCTCCCCGTAATGATTGTGAAGTCTTCGAACAGCTCTACGGAGTTCTTCCTTCCCTTGCTGGGGTAATTAGTAAGTCGTAACCCCCAATATGTCACCTATATACTGTCTGTCTTCTTTGTTTCTCATCTTTGTTTCTCATCGTTGTCGTTCTATCTTCTGTTACTGAACAGCTGATGTACTATCTGCTAAGAGTATACGCCGACCATTCTTGTGCTGGAGCAACATGCCACGATTGTCTCGTCAACGCACATGAAAACACCCATTTTTAAGGAGCGATTCGAGGCATTTATACGCTCCTTGGCAGCTTCCAACAACGCTTCTGATTATCTCGATTCAGATTCACCGCACCTCGAAGAGTTTCGTCTTACATATAATTATTTCTGGGATGCTGTGCGCACAGAGGTGTCGCGTCAAGAGGCGACGGGTTTGGAGCCAGGTGTGGCAAAAGGGGGCTTTGCATCTCAACATCATCTGGAGAGTTAGGAAACTAACAATCTGGCAAAAGCACACGGCTGCTGCCCTGCTGTACGATACTATTCTACTTTTATTACAATACCAGGTTCAATTTGGTACATTTAGAAGGGGAGCTGTAGTATAGATGAGTTGTTCAAGAAAAGATATTGAGTATGTCTGGCTTAGACAGTGTTTAGAGAGATATATGTTATCCCTAGTCTTCACGGTTCAAACTAGATGAATGAAGTATTCAAAATGGAGGGAATGTTGGTGATACTAGACTGGGCACCTATCCAGGCGGTCCCATACATAAGGTGTCTGCTTTATGGCAATTTCTCAAAGGCATGAATACATGTATCACAACAAGCCACTGTACAACCCTATAGAACATGAAAAACCGCGACATAGAGGGGTACGTAGTATGGGCGGGGTTCATTCAAATCGTGCCAACTGGCTAGTCCACGTTGGATATAAATGACTGGGCGGAGGAGTCGGTATTGGGGGATTCCTGGTCCAACTTGTGTCCAGCCAGTCACATCGCCTCAGACAGGCTGCAAAGCCCTGTCGTCATTTGTTAAGGTGCTGTCTTTAAAGTACGATAAAGTTGTGGCTGTATCAGGTCGATTCGACTGGCCTTTCGGAAAGGCCAATGGGCACAGGGATTGTTCACAATATAAAGAGGGGTACACACAGCTGTTAAGAAAAGAACGGCCAAGTTTCTTCTCGCGTCTCATATATACTGGATGTTGATCCTCAAACCTACTGCACAACCCGATATATCAAATACCTCTAGTCTACCTGAACTGGAATAGTGAGTCCGTCCTCTAGCAGGGTGATGATCTAGCCACCTATGTTAACAAGCGATCTCGTAAGATGTGCAAAATACATGCTGCTACAACCCGGTATTCCACATGCCCTTTATCATGCAACAGATTCAGGCGCATCCGAGTTACAGAAGGGTGTCCCTCCTATGATGCGACTGGGCAAACTTGCCAGGATCCGAAAGAAGAGGGCATTGGCTTGATTATGGACGCATATGTATGTTGTATTATTAGAATATGGTTTTTGGGCAGGGCTTCTTTCCGGTGCTAACGGTGTAACTGTACTCTAGAAATGGTGAGATACTTGATGATATCGGGTCATGCGGGACTAATGGTTTCTGTTCCGGGTCCAATATGATCTGAATGCTCTATATCGTCCTTGGCGGTTCGTCGGTGTGTGGAGCCCAAACGATGGAGTACCGCAACGAGACTGGTAAGTGTTGAGGAAACGAGGAAGTAGAATGTGGGCCATAGTGGTTGAAGAAAAGGAGAAAAGGACGTAATGACAACATGGCCAACCTGTCAGTCTTCTTTTAGTCCATGATAGACGTGAACGATTACAGAAATGACCATGAAAGCAGTGTTGTTTGATACAATTGTTGATGATGGGTTCTGACCGAGTCACCGGGATACAGGGATCAGTCATGTGATTGCAAAAGGGCTCAATTCCTGCAGGTAAAACAAAGCATATGAACAGTTCTATAGTATTTGAATTGAGCGACCAATCGGAACCGAATTCGGGGGGAAAAAATAGGAAAAAACACCTAGCTACTGAATAGTGGAGCGCGATAAGTATGAATCAGCCCACTTGCCCCTCCCTAAATCTTCTCCATCTTGACCACTTCTGGTGCACACTCTGCAAACCAAATGTCCGCAGTACACCGGGTTAGAAACTTCAACTTTGATCGTTGTGCTGAACTGCATAATGAAATCTACCGGATAGGGCAGAATGGCAGGGGACAAAACTCTAACCCAACTCCAGGAGTAACATGGTGGGAGCATCATACGCCAACAGAGGATGTCACCAAACACCTGTGCCCAGATCTGGTTGCTTTCCTGAAACTAGCCTACACATTTCGAGCCGACACGCACGATAACATCTCATTCTTTTACTGGCTTGACGACCTGACTCACCCATCTTTGCTGTTCACGACATGGCTTGAGGACGACTACCCTCATCGGTTCGTCTGGCTGTACCAGCATAGCGGTTACAGCTCTGGAGATGAGGTAGGGATTGTGTAGGACCCATCATGTCCTGAAAGCCAACTGTAGCTAACGAATGATAGATACGATCAAGAACGATCATTAGCAGCGTTTGTCGGCCACACCGACGATTTATACGGGATGTGTACACACGGATGGGGATTTAAGCCCTTAGAGATCATCCTTTCCGCCTATCTCGATATGATAGAGGAAGGGAAGGTATCCACAACTGACCATATCGTGCAAACCTGGGAAGGACCTCCGGATCCTATATCACAATGGATGATGCGACCATACACCCAAGCAGACGTCGAAAAGGCCGTATCTGCAATGATGGGGCTTGTGGCAGCCATAAAATCCAGATTACCTATCCACCCCTCGCTCTCGTCGAACACATGGTCTGACTTCGAGGCGGCTGCGGCCCATATCCCTTCTAATACATTCATTTTCGAGTTTTTGAAAGGAATCTCAACCATGCAGATTCCCTTTCATTATCTTGCGCCTGGAATCCGGTTGCCCAGCCCTGCTGAATTTGGTAAACAACCGTTCCTCCCTTCCAACTTGTCAAAGGACCAGGACTACCCTCTCGAATCCCCGTTATTATTATTTTACAAGGATGGCGCGAAAACCACAAATCGCGGTGTTCCTCTTCTCCCAGAATCACCAACGATACCAACTACCCCAGCAGGGCTCTATATGTCATCGATTCAATATCCCTCTAATCGCGAGTTTTCTAATGGCTGCTACCTACTTCTTCCTTTTAATATTGGCCAGTACGGCTGGGCATGCACAAGCGACAACCAGCAGATGGGCGTGGATGCTTGTGATACTGTACCGAAGCCGAAAGATATGCATGATGATCTTTACCAGTCTGGATATAATGGCTTCGTGGATCTGCGGCATGTACAACTACACAAGGTACTACAGAATTGGGCATCAAACATTGAAAACGGTCACTGGGAAGTTGGTGAGGATGGTGTAGTCGGTGGAATCGAAAAGTTCAAGGAGGCCGATACTGAGGATCACTGGGAGAAATACTGGGTACCACCGAGCTGGTAAGTTTGGCATTGATACCAGTGGTATAATCCCAGTGTGGACCTAGATATGAACTTCCACTATCATATTGCGTGAGCTTCGTATCTTTATACGCAATTCCGACCACATTCGGTCAGCTCATACCGAATTACGCAGTTATCAAAGCGCACAAGGAAAAAGTAAAAGTGCTGCAGTAGTTGTTTCTTGAACTTCACAGTATGAAATCTTGAACCCGAACCCGACTCGATGCCAAGTTTAATATCTCCGCTGATGCATTGACATAGCTAGTAAGTACAACTAGAATGTGACGACTTGTGAAATAGACGACATAAATGACAGCTACTAAGGCTATTATTCTATCTCGATCTGCCAGGTTTCTCAGCCTGATACTGAAAACTCAGACGGTAGAACAGCAAGTGTATGATACGATATTTCTGCCTAGGTCACCAGTTCTAGTTGTCAAGACTCAATACCAGTTATGTGGGTATTCATATCTTCCAAATCAGCCACTCTGGCATCCGGGTAATCATGAGCCCGGTCGCAACCGTCGCATTCATAGCCAGCAAGTAGGTCAATGCAAGTTGGAGGAATCCCATGAAGGTAACGACACGTGGCCCCTTGACAGGTGTAGTTCTCGACATGCTATATTTCTATGATCAGCACTGTTCCTTATATTAAGCCCTCACACTAAATTACAAGGAACTTACCTTGCAGATAGACAGCCGATCACACTTGGTGCCCATCAGGCGTTCATGTTCGCAGGGGTAGCCCAAAAGATGAGCGGGGCAGATCCGACGTAGAAAATCAGCGTCGTAGGCAGTAGGCGCAACAGAAGTCGAATTGTGTATGTTAGGGTCTGCGGCCGATGAGGCGGTAGCGGAGGATGGCTGGCGCTGGACAGGAGCGGGGGGCTGCTCAGGAGGCGTTTGAGCCTATCAATGGTTAACCAGCTGTCTCAATGTTCAATGAAATCGCAGAACGAAGGCCTTCTTACTGAGGTTTGCTGGGCCAAGTTACTGTCAGGCTCGTGGGTTTGCTCGACTCCCTTTGGCTTGGCTGTATCAATGCGTTCAGAGGCCAAGTCTTGGTTAGTTGGCTGACAGAGCGCGTTTTCGACCGAATTAATGAAAGTAGAATAGCCAAGAGGCGTCTTGATAAACATCAGTACAACCGCGAGCTTTGTATAAAACTGTATATCATACCCAGATAGTGTACTTCACGTTGAAGTCTGGTGCAGCACCGGCCCGGTCTGCAAGCACTGTGAAATAGAACTTGACCTCACCCAAGAATGCTTCTGCGTGGTCCTTGGTAGAGTCTTGCAGATCAGACTTAGAAAGCTGTAATATACAAAGGTTACTATAATTGGCTGTAAGATAGATGTAGAACACTTACAGTTATTTCTTTCTGACCCAACCCAGGACTGTTGTCTCCGTTCTTGATTATGTATTCTGCGGACACAGCTAGACGAGCCTCATTCTGAGTATCTTCAAGTCGGATAAATGCGCCAGCGATGGCCACAAAGTCCTCGAAAGCTACCTTTTCCCAGTCCTCATCGGCCAGGAGATACTTGAGCGAATTAGCCAACCCGTACCATCCAACAAGAATAATTTAGACTTATGGTGACTTGCCTTGTGGGTAACCACGAATGATATCTGAAGAGGACGAACAGGTCCCAAGGCAGGGGGCTCGATCACTGCGTGTTGAGCCTGGATTCTCGCGGCTTTGTCGATGGGCGTGTGAGATGACATTTTTGGATCCTGAACAGATGAGATTGAGGAGATGGTAGAGGATAGGTACTAGTAGTGAGGGTGGATGGTAGAGAGGAAGAGGAAAGAGAAAAAGGGTGGGTTCAGGAAGAAGAGGGAAGTAAAGTAATCGGAAGCGTAGCTTCAATCTTGATCCACGTGTTACTTCACTTTGTGTTGTCCTCCTGACTTCACTTCTTCCACTTGCTCTTCCATCATTCACCTTCTTTGACCTCATTTGGGGTAAATAGACGGGGCCGCCTTGGCAGATACATGCATGCATGCTCTAAAGAAGAAAAGAAAGAGATGAGATGTAGTCATCGTGGTAGTAAGTATGTACATCGAGCCCACTGCCCCAGGTAGTGTTCGGACAGACTATTTATGTTTACGTGTCCCAACATATAGCTCACATACCCATCAGATTCCGTCTACTGCCTGGTATTATTCTTACTGCCCCCGGGGCATATTCTACACTGCGTAGGGTGGACAGTTCACCCTTGCTACCCACAACTCTCTCGATGTGAAAAGGGCCAAGCAAGAGCCATTTCCACAATTAATAACGCTCTGAAGGAATATATCCTGGATCATAGGTCGTGATCTTGGAAGGGCAGGCTAGGAATCCCCGGCAGTAGAGACTGAGGTACTAGTCACTGAGTCAAGGTTAGAGAGACAGAGAACTGTGGATGAGAGTCTCCCTTCGTGCCGTTACTATAGCCCCTTCATAAGCCACTCGTCATATAAGAGTTCCAAAGCCGTCGGCCGGTCTCTGGGGTTCCACTGCAACGCCATGCGGAGCCCTATTTATCGCACCGAAAGCTCTGCTTCAATCTTGCTTCGGCGCCTTCAGTGGATGTATCTAGTACAGTGCAACACCAAGAATATAGGTGTTCAAGTAATCGAGAGTCAATGTCAGTCAACTACCACTCGGGAGTTCTGGTACTGAGACAGGAAATACCCGGCTTCTTAAGTACTGGACTAACCAGTATCCTTTATTATAATTACTGGCAGGATGAAGTCGCCTAGGGGACGCTAAGAAAGTGAACAACAGCTAATTAGGTACAAAGATTAGAAAAGTAAAGTTCGAAGAAGAAAGAAATGGAAGGTATTAAGTGAAGGAATCCTATACTCATCAGGGAGAAGCGCCATACTAGAAAGAATATACAAATACCTCGAGGATAAAAGTACCTGTACTAGTTTGGATTAACTACAGACCGTCGTATCATAAATGTCACGCCACAACGGCCCAGACTATTTGAGTTTACAGGAGTGGTTCATAATGCTACCTCATATAGGACATTCAATATTTCCAGAAATTGCTACGAAAATGTACTGCGAGGCTCCAGAAAAGAAGATGTACACACACACACACACACACACACACACACAGCATAGCACCTCAAGAACAAGGTGCGACACCAGCCGATCCAGGGAAGTCACAATAAACACCCGAACCACTCTGGGCACAAACAAGGCCAGCAGGACATTCCTGCATCGCCCAGCGCCCATTGTCGCAAATACCAAATTGGCTGCCATTGCAAGAAAACGACCCGCTAGTCGGGCATGTCTGCCCAGCAACCGGACACACCGTCGAGGTGGGTGTAGCGGTTGGCGTGCCCGACGTTGGACTGGTTGTGGTGGACTTCGTGGTGGTGATCAGCGTGGTACTTGTAGATGAGGTCGTGGTCGTCATCGGGGTAGGTGAGGTCGTTGTCGATGTCGTGGTCGGGCTCGTCGTCGTAGTTGGAGCAGCGCTGCTACCTCCCAAAGCGGACCTGAGTCCTGAAAGAAAGCCGCTGTTGGCGTACACCTGACTCGCATCCCAGATCATGGCGCCTCCGAAACTGCTGAAGTTTTTCACATACTGAATGATCTCGCTAACCCTCGATATCGGCTGGTACCCGGTGCCAGCCGCACCTTGGTTCCCAGGAACACCGAGAAAGACTTTGGCGTTTTTATTCAAAGAGGTTTCACGAGCCCACTTGTCCCAAACATCGAAGTTGAAGTTATTCTGTGTGGAGCTGCCGGGGACGAACGATTGAAGTCCGCAGAAGTTGTTGTAGAACTGAATCCATATCGCGTCGAAGTACACAGCGCCATTGAGCATAGGGCCGTCCGCGGCGTCTGGGTAGGGACACTGGGGTGCAGCGGTGGTGTAGTATTTCTTTGAAGTATCGCTGGCGTAATACGACCGCAACTGGTTTCCAAAGGCCGGCATGTTGTTGACAACGGCCTCGAAGTCGAAGTCGAACCCGTCGACCACCGCATCTCCGAAGGGTCGTTTCGCAGAGGAATTGGAAACCGGTCCAAATGTCTCCCAAATCATCTTGGCACCAGCGACTGCGGCTGCTTCGCTGGAAAAGCCGCCTTCGTTGTAGGTGGCTCCTCCGATTGAAAGGAGGATTGTCCGTCCAAGTGATTGACATTCTTTGATGTCCTCACTGATCATAGGCTCTAGTTAGCTTGTCTACTATGTATGGTTTGGTGCGTACCTACGCAATCTGTGGACAGTCTAGAAGCTGAGTTCCTGGAAACGCGGTGCAGTTGTCGCCGGCATTTGCGAAATTGACTTCAGGAACACCGCCAACTCCGTTGATCCTAGTGACGAAGGAGAGTTGGTATACCTATTAGTCCTGTTAGTAAATGCTCAACAGGGTCAAGGTCTATTTGTTCTGTACATCTGCGTCCGTTGCTGTACACAAAGTGGGTAGAACTGTTAGCGACTGCTGCTTTTACATGGCGCGGAGTCAGGCTTACTCCTGCAATAATGTGACAGACGCTGCTGAACGTATGGACCGGTGGCCTGTCCGTAGGAATTCTGACCTGAGAGATCATGTTAGTTGTTCCACAGCTTCCGTGCTTGCCACGTATACTTACCCCAGTACACGGCAATGTTATTTGGGCTGTTCAGGTTCAACGCGGCCAGCGCGCCTTTGGCAGAAGCCAGAGCAAGTGTGAAAAGAGCAACAGTCTTTGAAGAAGGCATGGTGGGGTATCATGAAACGCAATGTCGAACTGGCTTGAATGACTTGGAGCTCAGGTTGAGTACCACTCAATACCCGGGAGTGTTGGGCCTTATTATACAGATTTTGACAAAGGTTCTTGGTGCGCAAACGGGTCAGTGTATTATTAAATGCGCACATTGGGTGTCATCTGCGTTTGTCATGGGTGTTTAGGACCGGCCTTCTTTGAGTTGTACATACATTCCTTGGCTTCATTCTTCGATCTCAATAGTCCGCTGCATCCGTGAGACGACAATGAATTTCCGAAGAATGTAACCTT